CTCTCTCTCTCTCTCTGTGTCTCACATACGCACGCTCGACTGTGACAGCGGGATGCAGCGAGCGCATCTGGGGTCATGGTGTGCAGGGGAGGCATGAGCGGGCCTCACTGTTTACCCCAATGATTCTTTTTTGACGTACAGTATCATTAGGAACTTGTACTGTGCACTCAACGACTGCTGTGCCGGTGAGAATTCCAAGGCCTTGATAAGCTGCCAGGGCAAATTAACGTCCTCACCTTCCTCGCACGCACATCCGAATACAAAAATAAAGTATGGTGGTCTTGCTTCGTCACTATCCAAGGAGTTGCATGGGTTACCGGCCAGTTGTCATCGCTTCCGCTCTCAATGCCGTTGCCACGAAAACCAGAGAATTATGAACGACATGCCAACCTTCGAGATCAGATGATCCATAATTAAGAGTCAAGACCAGCTCCGCTTGCACTTGGGCCACCGAACCACGAAGAAAGATCGAACTACCAGGGACCAAAGAACCGCGGGTCAGGCATTTTCCAAAGTTTCGCGGTTTGATCCACGGCATAGCTGTGGTTTCTATGCTATTGCGGTGTGAGCTCACCTGTGCTGTTTGTTTGCACTCCGGGCTCTTTGTCTTTCAACCCAATATACGGTTTCAAGTCCGGTACTGTTCTGGTCCAGACTGGTAGGAATCATGAAGCTGCCCAGGCACAAAAAGAGTCGGATTCTGCCAGCCCTCCGCTACGATGTTGAACGGGTCCACCTCAGACACGCTGAAGTAATCTCTGGGACACTTGGGGCAATTGCATAGCTGGGAAGCTGAGCTTGCGTGCTCTTGTGTTCACCAAGACTTGCGTCTTGAATCCTGCAGCACCTTTTGAAGCGATGTATCTCCAGCTGTTCGGCGCAGGAAGGCCCGTCCGACGATACCTTGAAATCGCGGGGCTGGAAAAATACCATCTTCGAGACTTCGAACATCTTCGAACGAATGCACGAAGGCTGGCCGGCTAGCCAAGGCTAGGACTGTTCAATCCACCATGCATTGGGCACAGGCCTGTCGCACCACAAACATCGGCAAGCTTTCACAAGAAACGCATCGTCTGAGCAGAGAACGTGGATTGTGGAATTTCAGCACGCGCTGCCATACCATACCTGCATTGGGTGCAAACTGTCACACCGTCACGCCGCAACTTGTCATTCGCCGTATATTCACAGCCTGAACTGCAACACCAAGCATACATACCAATATCCGTCTAACTGGGCTCAGAACTCGAAGTTGGCTTCAGCAGTCGTGGTGAGTTGAACCGCCAGCTCCTCAGATTGGTTGGCAGTTAACAGGCGGCTCCGACTGACATCAAACACACCGGCCGAGTCGAAGGCATTTGGTGTTTCAAACTCAACAGTGGGGTCTTGAGCTCCAAGGAGGTTTGCTTGTGTCAGCGCCTCGTATCCGAGACATCGCCACCGTGTTTTCATGAAGAACGCGCCCGAGTCCGCCGCAGCTTCCGTGCTGAACTGCAGGTCAGCACTGTACCATGCGACCCCTTCTGGAGCACGAATGCGTATGTAGTCGTCGAAGGGAATCAGCCTGGAATCTGCCTACTCTTCAGGCATGCTGGCATGCGGAACATCAACAATATAAGACCCTGGCAGTGGCGACACAAAGCGGATCACCACAGTTTGTGGCCCAGGCTGCGAAGCAAACGGCGATGACAGAGCGAGTAATCTACTGAGTATTGGCGGCAGCATCCCTGCTCTTTCAAAAGCCTCTGCCACCTAATGCACCAGCGCACTCGGAGGAGTGGCTTAGTCATCGGCCTTGCGCATGAGCGGCACAACCACAAAGGATGAGAACCTTGGCTCGAACAAGACACCGATCGCTGAGTGCATGATGAGCGACTGAAGCTGTGTAGATCTAGTGGCGCGTATGGATACAGGAAGAAGCCCGGAGAACGGGCAGTGTCCTGAGCTCTGCTGGTTGAAGAGATGTGCCGCGCTAGCCATGTCTTGAAGCTTCGCTGGTGCAAAACGTTTAGGACCCAAACTCGAGCAACTCCGTCTGGTCTCAGCGTGTCGAAAGACCATACGTTCAGGTCATCAGGTATGTAGTCAACTGGGTTCTGCATCTGGCGAAAGATGCAGGGACATGCTAGAAACCTTTCCGCGCTTGTCTCGCTCTGTTCCAGCCTGCAGCGAGAAGGAATACTGCACGCCTGCCTGGATGGCGCCTGGAGCTCATTGAATACTGACTGATGTCTAGGAGTCTAGGAGCAACTCATTCGATGGAAGAAACGCCCCCGCCGGGCTCCGAGAAGACCAGCTCAAAGGAGTTGGAATCGGATCCTCCCAGGCCATGAAATCACCCCGCACTTCTTGACTCATCTTCGATGTGCTCGCCGGCCGGGTCACCTATACATTCTGCATCTGGCAGCTCAATCGGCATGAAGTTCAGACCTCAACAGAAAGGGAATCACTTCCTTGTGTTCCCCTTGCTTTTCGAACTCGACGAGATGCAGAGGAGATCGTGGTCTGCCACGCATGCACACCCACCAAAGAACTTATTCCAGAAATTGTGCATGCGATACCAACAGACGCCCTTTGCGCCCTGCATCGCTTGATGATGAAGAAACCAGGTGGAGCCTGGAGAGAACAGAAAGAGATGAAGCTCCACAGCTCAGAAACACGGCAGATTCTCGGGTCCCTGCCAGAACACGCAATCGGGTGTTTGGGACGTTGCCGATTGGTTGTGATGGAATAATGTCAAACCGCACAGTGTTGATGCCTCAGATTTTCTTCCAGGCCTTTCAGTTGTTCATGCACAAATGTGAGCCGCAGGCTGTCCAGAAGCTGGTTTTCCTGCGACAAGGCCGCCTGCATGGGACCAGACCTCACATTCTTCTGCCGGGTGCGCACAGCCCAAAAACATCGCACCCTTACTTTCCCTGAGATTCCAGCACCTCCATGCCCCGGATCCCACGAGTCGCGGAAACCTGACGTGGGCTGCTGCACAAGCAATCTCCAGGGCTTCCGGGCACTCCGGGTGTGAGGCTGGCTTGGCGGCGTCTTGCTCCCACAGCTCAATCTTAGTTGTTCATTTTTGCTTCTCGTTCAACCGGAGCGAGAGGAAGCCGAGCGGAAGACACGCCAGGACCTGGCCGCGCCGGGCTCTGCAGGATTCCGGACCTTGTGCAAACTCGCAGAGCTAAGAATCGAGGTTCAGTTGCCAACCAATGCGCCTTCAGCCGAACACCATATGTGGTCTCCTTAAAGGGAGCAGAGTCTGCCAGTGGACACACCCAGCGCCTTAGCAGTCTCAGAGCAAGCCGTATCACGAAAGCGCGACAGTTTCTGTGGCTACGGCCCTGCCAGCCGATCAGCTTCTGGCCAAGACCTTCCAAAGGATCGTTGCCGTGCATGGTCTTCCGGCCATGCAGCTGGGGCAAGCACGTGCACGGGAGCTCGTTGTAGTTGGTCGAAGGCCTGGGAATGACTGCACATGCTGTCCTCACAGTCGCCGAGGCGTCATTTGCGAGTGCCTGTGCTCCCTGCAGTTGTGGGGCGGCGCTCGCAACAATGGTGAAGGTGGACGGAGGCATGATGACGATCATGCCAGACGCTTCCGTTGCAGGCCTCTCCGGTTCGAGTGGAACAGGCAATAACCGCCTGCTAGCACTGGGTCGCCGTGAGGGACCCCGGCATGACTGTGTTGCCCGGTTTGAACTCCAGGACCACCTGATCGATCGAAAAGCCGCCGAAGTGTGCTCAGGATCTGCGAAACATGAACCTGGCCCAGATGTCGGAAGCTTTTCTTGCATGAGTGCAAGCACTATGCCGGCTCGTATTGGCACGTCGGACACGGGATTCAGAGGGCTTCGCGCTCCGTTATCCCAGATTCGCTCTGCACCGATAGAGTCAGCTCTGGTGGTACAAGCCTCAGCCTATGAAGCGGCCAGCATCCCACGTGCCTGAAGAGCATGCCCCAGACGAGGAGGTGTGTGTTCCCCTTCCATGCTGAAGCCCTTTGGCCCATTGGCCCTCGTAGAGCCCCCCATCCGGCCACCGCATCATACCGTGACCATGTTTCTGATTGTCGAGGTACTGGCCAGTGTAAACACGTCCATCTGGCCAGGTGAAACAGCCGGCACCGCTCATGCGATCTTTGGCCCACTGGCCACTGTACTCTTTTCCGTCTGCCCAGCGATACACACCCTCACCGTGCAGTGCGTTACCCTCAAAGTTCCCGGAGTAGCTGGAGCCATCTGGCCACAACAGCTTGCCTTTGCCACTTTTCTGACCTTCACGGTGCTGACCTTCGAATCGAGCACCGTCTGGCCAAAGCTCAACTCCTTCGCCGTGCTGCTTGTCATTGCGCCACTGGCCATCGTATGACGCTTGGTCAAAGTGTCGGTAGCTGCCGTGTCCATGCGCTCGATCTGCTTTCCACTGGCCTTCATAGACCCCACCATTCGGAAACTGGAACGTCCCCTGCCCACTTGCACGGTTTCTTTCGAATTGACCCTCGTACTTAGCACCGTTCGGCCAACGATGCACACCTTGGCCATGCCGTTCCGTACCGACCCACTGGCCGATGTAGGACTCGCCATTCTCGAAGTTGAACTCTGGCCGTGCCTCGGGTGCAATCTCTGAAGCCAGTTTGCTGGGTTGGGCCCCGGCCTCTTCCTGGGCACCAAAAAACGTAAGCTCTGAGACGCGACAGTTTGAGTCGCACACGCTGGATGAACAGCGCTGCTGGTTGCAGGCCCAAAACATCTTGCTTTCTCCGGTGGCTAGCTTTGACTAGCTACTGGGTCCGCCATCTCTCAACCATCTTTGTGGCGCTATCCGCATGGAGCCAAAAACTGCATACTCGGACGAGCGAGGGCTCTTCAGAAGATTCGACATGTGCCTGCTGGGAACCTGTGGAATGTTATGCATACTCAGTTTCGGACCCATTGCTCCACGTCGACATCACCTCGTTCAAACCTGACCAGAGCACTTTCCAGGCAGAACACTAACAACAACAAATCAACAACATCCATGTGGGGACAAATTTGCTAAGTCCGGGACGCTGCAATTCGACCAGTCGGAGTTCCCATGACCTATGTGCATCAAAAGACCCCCTGCGGAAATCTCATAAAGCGACGCCACAGAGGCACCGACACTCACGGGCCTGTCGCTAAAGACTGTAAAAGGCTCCTGTGGCAGCTGATCCTGCCAGTGTGGTCATCAACCAAGGACTTCCTCACAATCGAAACACGTTGCGTCTATCCATCCAAAAAACTTTCTACCATCAACAGGAACTTGCCCAGCAACCCCAGGTCTCACGATGTGGCGCAGGGCAATGACAGTTGATCACACCTCTTATCTCATTGAAGGCGTCGCGTCGCGTCTTTCGGCGATGGCGGCGGATCAAATTTCGTGAACTCGTCCCCCCCATCGGGCGCGGGGCGACGGGGTTGATCAGGTTTCTTAAACCAGTCATCAGGCCATGGCGGTTGATCACATCTCATTAAGCCGCCCCCCCTCTCTCCCCCCCCTTCGGCGATGGCGGTTAATCACATTTATTGAACTCGCCCCTCAATATCAGGCGATGGTGGCGGATCGCAACTCTCAAACCGGCCCGCCCATGAGGCCCGCGATGGCGCCAGTTTCGTAAACCCTGCCCCTCATTGATCACATCTCTCAAATCGCAGCCGCAGTTGATCACGTTTCTTCAGTCCCCCCCTCCTTCCTTGCTTCCTTCCCTCCACCCGCTCTCGCGCCCTTCCTTGACTGACATGTATTTCTGTCTTGGTATGGAGGAATGAACAAGTGTATTTTGATCTAATGGTTGTTATCCGCCCCCCCCCCTCCTGATCGATTCGAAACGAAGTGGCCGTCCAGTACCTCAGTGGTCGAAGCGATCCGGACAGGCAGTGAAGCGGGTTGCCAAAGCTCTGTGGACGGCGCATGTTAACAGCAGTCGGCGGCTTCGGAATGCCCCTTGCACCGAGCACGCTCTGGCCCCAGTATGTCCAATGGACTTACAGGTTTTGCAGGAAAGCTTTTGTCGGCTGCTGGGAGCTCCACAAAGTAACTTCAGCAGCGCCCTGGGTGCCCAAATTATTCATGGGCGTTGTGCCTCAGCTGCAAACGCACATGTTGCAGGGCAGTCAAAAAGGTTTCCCAAAAGGCTTCGGCCCACGTCTAAGCGGAAGCCATTTGCCCTGCACACACGAAACACGCGCGCTTTGACAAAGTAACACCGGAATTCACTCCAGGGTTCCAGCTCTGATGCTAAAGCTCCTTGGAAAGACCTGCATGGCCACAGCCGTTTGAATCTGTCAGAACAACAGCCAAGCCAAATCATGCAAGAGTGGGACTACCACTGATGGAAGCATCATGAAGCATCAAGATTCCATCTGTGCATGCATCACGCATCCGTTATGATCGTCTTAGGGCAAAAAACAGCAAGCTAAATACATGCGCAGTTCCGATGTTTCCCAACAATAAGAAATACAACGTTCCGTGATTTGTGCTTGCGAAGCTGGCCTGAGGCGACAAGTTGTGCCAACATGTGGCTGCCTCTGTCAATGTGAGGCCGCTGGCCAGCTGCGAAGCGAATGCCGATGGCAATGTGCCACTCAGGTTTGGGCCCATAGTCCTCGCAATCAGTCCCAGGAGTACCGAGTTTCCAAACCTGAATTGTCACAGCAGGCTGAGAAGCTCCATATTCATGCACCACGAAATTAGAATTAGCGTAGGCTGCCGTGGCCAGCCCTGGCACTCAGGACCCTGCATTGGTTGGATATGCCACAACGTCGATGTTGTACTCTGTGTTCATAAAGCCGAAGGTACGGAGGCCAAAGGTGATGAGCATCCGCCCCTTGAAGACCAGGGTGAGGCTCAGCACGTCTTCTCCAGCAATCTTACCACGCTAAGGCTTTGACATCTGGCGTGGGGGTCCATGCTCCGTAGAAAAAGCCAGTGATGTAGCCTGCCCGCAGCTGGCTGACCCGACAGTGCAAAGCACGCGAAGCATCGTGGGCTGGGCCTCGGGTCTGATAGCTCCCTGGGTACTCGGTGTCATCTTTGGCGTGTGGCACCTTCAGAGAAAGAAGGGTGCGACGCAAACCGTGCAGTTCCTCTAAAGGCATCGGGGAGCAGGCCGTGTAGCCCAGATCGATCGAAGTTTCTGTACCCTCGATCACAGTCATCGGGTCAAACCTGCAAAGATGCAGCCGGATGAACACCGATGCGGGCGGTGCGAGCAAGCGAGAGCCAGGAGGTAGGGGAAAGCAGTAAGCTAACCTCTTCACGCAGCTGCATTCAACTTGGACCGTTGCTCCGTTGTGAAGACATAGTTGTTCTGAGCTGCTGTCATTCTGCCTGGAGGCCTTCGTTACAAACGCAGCTCGATCTCGAAGACATGACACATCAACACAGACGGCAAGTCTCGGTTCGTTCCAAGCCAAGGGCAGCAGCAGCTTGAGCGTCAACGAATACATGGATTCTTGGTGTCACAGGTACAGCATCGATTGCTTCGTGTGGACAGCTGGAACGTGAACAACCATCATCAGATCTGCCATGCACATGCCGGATTGAAGAATCTTTGCCGGCTGCCTACTTTTCCAAACTAGGCCCCGAACGCCTTCTAAGGCGTGTCTGCAGAATCAAGCGGGCCTGTTTCCAATCATGTGCCTATGACAATGGAGAGTACTCATCTGAGATCCAGCCTCGTGATCCTGGAAGCGGCATCCTTCTATCCGGGGGAAGTCGCCAGTCGCATCCAGGACGTTTTCGCAAGTAAGTGACCTCAAGGTCCGGCCGCCACATGAATTCATGAAGAAGCCGGGACCAGCGTCACCAGAACGAGCTGAAAGTCAGGCTGGCCGCACTTGCTTCTACTCTGCGCTACAGGTGATGGTGGTCAAAACCACGTTCCAGACTCTGTCGCCCGAGGCTCTTGCTCTACGAAGAAGGCTTCCGAGCATGTGATGCGTATCTGGGACGTGACACGACATGGCACCAGCAGGATCTTGGAAATGTCGGACGAACTTCGAAAGACTGGCAATGCGAGGCCTGCATCTTGGCATCGACCGTCCTGGGACCAGATGAGCAAACGTAGTCGGGTGCTGATCAAGGATGATCTGGGTCAGGTAGCTCTTGTGCACGGCAGTGATAATGCTGACAAAGATAACAACTAGATTAAGCCATTCTAACAGCTGCCAGTGATGATAACAATCGTGGAGTCTTCAGCTTCAGACATAATGAGTAGCAACTAGCATGAGTAGTCATCCCAGTAGTAGACAGGCAATAGAAGTACCAACAGCTCGCTACGGCAGTGGCAATATATGGCAATCACATTCAAGAAATGGAGGCAGACCATGGTAAAAGGACAGGAGCAGTAGATCGAAATAATCTGTAAGGTGGTGAACTGCCGCTAAGAAGACACAACAACACAACAATAAACATTATATACACCCGCCCACCCACCCCAGTTGCTCGCTGATCAATCCGCGGATTGAGGCTTGCTGACCTCACATGCTGGATGTGAGTGGTCTGCGAAAGTCGTCTCGGAACCGTGCATGTGTGCCTGTGTGTGCTGCGGAAGCTGAGGGGCTCGGCTTTCTGTTCTGCTGGCTCGGCGGTGTTCCGTAGGACAGACACCCAAATATTCATGGCACCCTGCAGTCGATGTGGAAAGCATGTGCTCAAAACGGCATGTAGCACGAAGCCCCCCCCCCCCCCACACGCACGCACGCACGCGCGCAC